AGTTTTCCATTTATTATCAGGAATACTAGCTACCTGCTACTTGTGACAATATCTTCAGTACAGACATAGAAATGGGGAACAGAGGAGGAAATAAAGGCCACTAGGTAGATGACACATATCCGCATTGCAGTAGCATAAATGCCATTACAGAATAGTGGGAGTAATTATCAATAGAAACAGCAGGGAGTTACTTAGGGCTAATTAATCTGTGGAACCCAAATCACAGTGTTGTTCTTCTGGAACTACAAGACCATCACCAGTACAGTTAGTCCCTCTCCTCTGCCCCTTGGTTTATTACTGAACCTACAGATGACCCTTGGCAAGCATCTGTGTAAAAAGAACCCCATTGAACGCCTCCTGAAAATAAAGAATCCGTACTCACCGATCCAACTTCATTGCCAAGGCAGACCTTCTTTTTGAAGAGCTTCTCCAGAATCACTAGGCAACACCTCCTTCACAATAAGGGATGTGGTTGACAGGCCCACACCGAACTGCTGTTTGAGTTTCTGGAAGAATTCCTGATTGGCCAGGTACCACAGGGTGATGCCCAGTCTTTCCTCCATTGGAATGGATACCCTAATGTGCGTGTTCTGCCACTCCAGACGGTGCCTCAGGGTGCCAGCTAGTTCAAAAAAGGTTGCCCTAGACATCCGGAAATTCTTGAGCCAGTCTTCATCGATCCATCTGCCCATCACATTGCTGTTCCACCAGTCCTCACTCCTCTCTTTCACCCACCAGCATCGAGGGACTGTATGGGCAGCAATGACAGGTGCCCATGCCGATAGATGCCCTCCAATTTTACTTGGAGGGTGCATGGCTCACGACAGGCATGTGTCACGGTAGAGCCAGGGAGGCAGGCAGACAGGGAGAGTCACAATAGCAGTCCAAAGGTCAGCCGGGCGAGCAGTCAGTATAACAGTTAAACCAGTCCCAAAACACAAGACACAACCGTAGTCAAAACGTTACCAGAGGTCATAGTCCAGAGATCAAAGCCGAGAGCGTTGTCAGGTTCAAAAGCGGGGGGTCAGTAGCCAGAGCAGAAGTCCAAAACACGAACCGAATCCAAAAAGCCACAGAGTCAGACAGGAGCCGAGGTGCAGAGCTTCTGGTTCTACGAACTAGTTTGCCAGCACAAGTTGCTCATGGCCAGAGGCCTTCCTAAATAGTGGTCTGGCTCATTAACCCATTAGCACCTTGTGCGCAGTCCTGGCTTCTGTTAAAACTCAGGGCTCAAGGATCTCCGCCCTCTTGAGCATGCTTCTCTTCTTCTGCTAGCCAGATCTTGACGTCTCCTATCCCTAAGCTGGCTTACAGGTGGGGGAGATGCCCCATCCCGTAGTTGGTTCTGCTTGCTGTGTATCCTCCTCTGCACTTACAGTAGGTGCAGAGTCTGGTGCTTCTTCAGCCCTTAAAGGCACTGAAACCTCTCCTCTAAGGCTGTCAGAAGCTGGCTCTGGGGCTGAGTCAAGGGCAGGCATGACAGCATGTCAGTTCTCCCCCCCTCCTCCTAGATAGATGAAGGTAGTGCATAAGCACCTCACTCAAAGCTGCTGTGCTGCTGATCATCATTTGCAACACCTCCAGGATTAGTTGCAACAAGGTAGTTATGGATACGACTAATAGATCAGTAGCCTCTCACACAGTCACACAAAACCACTCTAACCAGACTAGAGATGTAAAATTTCCGGAACTTTTGAAGCTCGGGAAAAAACCCGGTTTATTTCCAGTTTTTCCCCCGGAAAAAACGGAAATTTTGGGAAAAATTGAAAACAATGCTACATTAGCATTTCCTTTGTCTTTTCTAGATTGAAAGTCATTCTGTTACTTTAGGAACATAAAATATGACTATGGACATTTTTACTTGGCATGAAATTATCACAACTAGCATATTAAAAATATAGTGTATCCAAACAATTATTACAAACAGAATACCCACCCACATGCAAAAACAAAACTGAAACCTTTTAATTTTCTTCTGACAATAGCACCTCCTAAAGGAAGAAATGCATCTTGTTTTTGCATTAGAGAGTTCAGTTTGTAACCTAGGACTTGCTTGTCCTCAGTGCACATAAATTAGATCAATCTGATACCATATATATATATTTTACAAATGATTTGGAAAATATTTGAACACCTTGTCTTAAAATATTTTATTCATGTTAAAATAAAACGTTCCATAATCATTTTTTTTCTTTTTTCAATTTTTCCATTTTTTTCCGAAAAAAACCCAAAAAAGACTTCTGGAAAAAAATGGAAAAAAACCGTTTTCCCCCCGAATTTTTCCAATTTTTTTCCAGGCCTTCACATCTCTAAACCAGACAAGCCTGCCACTCCCAACTTCAACCCACAGATAAGGGGTTTGCCTCCCTGCCCTTTATACCTGGTCCAGCTCTGTGCCAGCCAATCGCCTCTTGACATGGATGGGTGCACATCAGGCTGGGTTAGCAACATCTGTCTCACTAATCAGTGATGCCCTGTTCTCCCACCTGAACCTGCTGTCCAACGGAATACTTGTTTCCAGGTGGCAACCTGACAACCCATCACCTTCCGCTGACACATCTTTGGGCATGGAAGGGTTAGCAATATCTCTCTCTCCAATCACTGATGCCCTGAAGTCCCGCTGGAAGCCTCTATCCAATGGGGTACTTGTTTCCAGGTGACAGATGTAGCCATTGCATGTATCCTAGTGGAGTCCAGGCATTCCGATGGGATCGCTATGGTGCTGTTTTGAGGTTGTGTTATAGCCCTATAGCGCAATAGCGCTCTAAAGCAAACATTAAAAAATGTTCAAAAAAAAAGACGGTGCTCGCCCGCACGGGTGGGAAACGGCGGGAAAACAAAGTGGTGCAGTCTGAATTGCCAAACCGCTTCTGATCCGGCTCTTTCCTGGTTGGGGAAAGCCATGTGTGAAATGGTAGTCCTGTACCGGTTTACTTCAAGACGGGTCAAAACCGGCTTCAAACCGGCTGAAACTTGGTAATGTGAAATTCCTCATAGTTAAATAAAACAGTTCTCCAGTGGCGCTTCAGAGACTGTGTGTGAAGACCCGCCAAGCAATGCTCCCACTAAGCTGTGGGATCTTGTGAGCAAAAATTCTACTTCATGGGCTACTGGCACCATAGGCGTCAACTACGGGGGGTGGGGAGGCTGAGGAGCTTGAGCCTTCCCGAACTTTTCCAGGAGATGCCGAGCCTCCCCTGGGGGCAACCGCACACGGGTCCTGTGATCTGGCTCCGAGTTTGTCATCAGTCTGAGGCAGCCTGACAAGTAGGCGGTCCCTGGGCTCAGGCAGCAGCCAGCACCCCTCCTGCTCCCAGCAGGTCTCACTGGGGTGGCGACAGGTGGTGGTGCTGGGCTGGCATCTTCAGCCTTGCCTCAAGAGTGGAGTCAGGCTGCTCCCCAGCAGCTGCACTGCCCAGGGAGCCCCAGTCTGGGTAGGTAAGGTGGGCTGATCCACTTTGGCCACCAAATGAGAAGGGAGCACTCCCTGGAGAAGACCCTGATGCTGGGAAAGACTGAAGGTCAAAGAAGACGAAGGGGACGGCAAAGGATGAGATGGTTAGACAGTGTCATCGATGCAACGAACATGAAGTTGAGCAAACGTCAGAGGATGGCGGAAGACCGGAAGGCCTGGCGGGATCTGGTCCATGGGGTCGCGAAGAGTCGGACTCGACTGTGCGACTGAACAACAAAAAGTGTGATTTTTCAGGGTGTTTGTATGTATGTTTGCCATTTTATTACTTTACTTACTTTGTTTTCAATGAAATCCTTACCAGTTGAACACCTGCCCGTTTATTTAGGCTTTCTCTGGGGAAGAATCTTGGTATGCAAAGGTGCTGATCTTCTTGCTTATTGAAATTTCCCTAATCAATTAAATATTAGACCATTCAGGGCAACAGCACGAGCATGCATGCTGCTCCCCCCACCTCCATATGACTGAGTTATCTGGATAAAGTTAAAGTGAATGCTGCAAATCAATTCCACTAGCAGCGGTGCTTTCCTTCTATGGAAGGAGCTTTTGCGGACGCAAGAATATATTGCATCCAGGTAAGCAGTGGCTCAAGTGGTTAAGACGCTGAACTGCAGGCTGTGGAAGGTCGGTAGTTCAGCAGTTCGAGACCCAAGTGTGCCGCATGACGGAGTGAGCTCCCGTCTCTAGTTCCAGCTCCTGCCAGCTTAGCAGTTCGAAAGCAAGAAATTGCAAGTGTATAAATAGGTACTATTTCAGTAAGAAGGTAACAGCGTTCCGTTCGCCTTGGTGTTTAGTCATGCCGGCCACATGACCATGGAAATGTCTTCAGACAGTGCTGGCTCTTCAGCTTTGAAACGGAGATGAGCACCGCAACCCTAGAGTCAGATTCGACTGGCTTTCGAGCAAGGGAACCTTTACCTTTAAGGTTCACTTGCACTAGAATGGATCCGCAGGATCCAACCCCTATGCTTTGTAGAATCTAATACTGCACTCCTACGAACATGTACTTAAAAATAAGCCCCATGGAGTTCCGTGAGTTGCAGTGCAATTGTAAAAACCTCGCTGAATAGACTTCAGTATAATTTAGAGGATTGCTGACTGAATTACTTGTTATATAAATATTCTGACAAGCTGTGCATCACGAGAAAGGGACATTAGGCTACTTTAGTAGATGGAAGGGAAATGTGATTTTTGTATACATGCTTGAGTTGTTTCCCAAGAACACAGAGCTCTACATAATATGTCGATGGTAAAATCGTGATAGCAAGGGAGCAAACAGTGTTTATTCTGTTCCCTTGGGACAATCGATACCTGGTGATTTGAAGAGTTGTCATGCTATTCTAGATGAATGCAGTCTAAACATATTACTCAACACTTGCAAAAACAATATGAATGTTGGTCTAGAAATACCATTCCTCATAAGGATAATCATGTCTTCCCCCCAAAAAAACATGTTAATTCCTCTTTCCAACTTATCAATTCCAGCAGCAGCAGTGCACTGGATTTATGTGAAATTAGAAAACCGCTTTTATTTTTTAAGAGTGCAAAATTATTATCTCCGAAGCCAGCTTTTATTAAAGTGGAAAAATATTTTCCCCAAAAAAAGAGCCTTCCCCACAAATAACAAGATCAACAGTTCTGACATTTCCCAATTGAGATACACCACAGTTACACACCGTAAGACACAGCACAATTATTGACACGGCCATCCCCCAGCATCTGGTGACAGTTTTGTAAAACAGCCTTTTTGTATGGAGGAGGCTACTTTTTTAAGGCAGCAGTGATCTGGTTCAAAATAACGCACTGAGAAGAACCTGTTCAGAGTTACTAACCCCAAGGAGAAGCATCTACATACTGTTTGAATCAATGGGGATTTCTGAACTCTGGGTTGCACTCTGTCGACCTGATCCTGAGCTATTCTCATAATCTGCACTACTGCCCATTCAAAAGCCTGCTGCACTAGAAACAGCAGACTAACACAATTCAGCAACACAGTAGAAAACCCCATACAGCAGGTGCCTATGCACCACTTTGTGCATTTGGCACTATTTATCTGATAAGAGAGGAGTGCAAGCACATTAGTGTGCCATTTCAGGGATTCTTTGCAGAGAGATTTATAGTGCAGATGTTTTCTAATATTGAAAAATCCCAAAGCAGACAGAGGTTGATTAACATTTGATCTGTTTAGGAATTTATAAAGTGTTTTTATTGTTTCCAAAAATGTCTGTAGAGTTTTTAAGAAATCTGGAAAAGGATCAAGAGATTGGGATGATGCTTTCACAACATACGGTTTCTGCAGTCTGGGTATACAAAAAATTCAGACTTAACAGCACACTAAAAGCTAAGAGAACTATTTTTTGGCAGAGCTGTCTTTGAGTTTGGATTTGTGGTACTTCTGCCCAATGCCGTACGGCACATGTGCGGCAACAGTACCCAACTGCCGTGCTCCCTCTATGTGAAACATCTGATCGTCAAAGAAAATGTGCGGCCTGATTTTTGCCAGGACTGGGCCCTTGGGTGCCCCAGCAAGGAAGAGGGCCTCGTCAACCTGCACCCCCCAGCTGCGGAGGGTCTTGAGCACTCTTGCTCCAGAACTGGCGGCACTTCTGGCCGTCACCAGATAAGTCCTGATTGGGGAATCCAGGCGCTCATTCTTTGCATAGAATTTCTTCTGCAGCCTTCCAAGATCTTCCAGGAAACCTTTCAAAGGACCCTGAAAGACACAATATATCAGAAACACACTTATGGCAACTGGCTGCCATTGATTTAGAAGGCATCTATGAGGGTTGTAAATGGTCTATAAGCTGCTGAACAAACCTTAAAGGAGTTTGGGATGGGGGGGGGGATTTTTTCCCCCTTGCTTTTCCCGAGAAAACCCCGATACAATTGGGATGCCGAAATCCACCTGAAAAATACCGGTAAGGTGTTTTTTGGGTAGATTTTTGGGTCGGGTAGATCTGAATGCTCACCCCTAGAGTCCATTATAAGAAGTAGTAGTTAAATCATAAGAAAGGCCTATTTGCACTGAAAATGGGGGGCGGGGGACTTGTTGTTGGACTTGCATTGACTGTGTATTTGTTGCAATTTAAGATGCTGTTTTTTACCTGTAAAGCCTGGGACCAACATATTTGAAAACCACTTCTCCTAAGCTTATGCCTACCTACCAGTTATATTCTCCACAGCAAAATCCTTGCTGTCCTTTGGTGTATGAAAGAGAGGTCGGTGGCAGGCTGCAGCCCATGCTGAAGCCTGTTCTGTGACAGCCTGTACAGTGTGGTATAGGCAACCACTAGAGGTAAATACACAGTGTCCCCTTCTTAACCATGAGACTGTTTCATTCCAAAGAGCCTTTTCTTTCATTAGTTTGTCAGACTTTGTTCGTTTTGAATGGTCTGTTTTGGTTTGGAGTTCCATCTTCTGTGTTGTAAATTCACTGCTGTTGAGAGATTGCAAGTGAGTCACCTTGACTCATGTTTTTTGGGGGAAAGGTGGTTTTATAAATGCTTTTAATACATCAATTAATTAAATAAACTTCCAGTGCAGAATATGAGAGTTCTTTCTTTGGAGACTAAAAATTTGGACAGTCATTTATCAGGGATGAATCAGGCATCTTGTCTCAGGACAGAAGATTGGAATAAAAGAACACTTGTTTCTCTTCCACCTCTTAAAATTCTAGATTCTTTAATAAATATTTCACAAATGTTTCCAAAAACTGATAGGCAAAATCAGGCAGGGGAGAAACTGGGCCAATCCTGCTGGTTAGCAGCAGCTGAATAACATCTTGCCATGTCTTTCTACTTTCCTTCTCCATGGCTGAGTTCAGACTGGCAGTTTGCCCCGATATAGGCACGAGCCAGAAACGTTCCACAACCAGATTAAAGGGGCCGTTCACACAGGCACATCTGTCCGGCGTTCCCCAGCCGTACTCAACCCGTCTCTCAACGCTTCCCTCCCGAGTTGAAAAGATACCAGGTGAAAGTGGTATCAAACCCTGGAGAGCGCACTTATCCTGTGTCCATCCCGCACCAACAAAGTGTGAATGCCGAAAGCCGCGTTTTTCTTGTGCGCTTATGCGCATATCTCCAGATTACCAAAAAGAAAACCACGTCTTACAGCTGTGCCTCCACCAGGGGCGGGCCAACAGTGTGAACGCTCCCTTGTGCCTCCCCCCAATATGCTCCCGCATCAGTTGCTGCAGTGTGAACGGGAAAACCCAGAACAGTTTGTTCCGGGTCTTTTTTTGCCACGACTCCCTCCCGCTTCAGACTGCCAGTCTGAACTCGGCCCATGTGTTTACTGCCTGGGTGTGCAGATGGATGAGCCAAAGGGCTTCTGTCATTGGACTCTTAGCCTGAAGGTCATAGCCTAGAACAGGGCAGGTTCTGCTCGTAGAGAGACAGAAGCCTTTCGGGAGGGTGGGATATAAATCCAAAAATAAACAAATAAATAAACAAATAAATAAATGTCCCTGAATCCCCCGCCCCATGTTTCTGTTGCATTTTTTTCTGTACCATTAGCTGCTTTGGTGAGAAAAACAGGGTATAAATAAATTACTAAGTAAACATAACATTATTCTACCCGGCAACAGCCATTGTGAGAGCAGTAAAAGAAATGCGTTACCCTACCTGTGCCAGAGGTTTATTCTCATTTATCTTCTCGTGCTCGAAAAACCTGTCCAGGCCATGCTCTTTCACAATGATTTCAGACTCATCGGAAAACAGAACTGCATCCCCATCAAAGGCTACTCGGAGCTGCTTATCATCGTGAGGGACATTTTTATTCCCTGTAAATAACGTGGCAGCAGCAATCCCTGCAAAAAAAATAGTACAAAAATGATTCGTTGGATATTCTATGCTGGAGTGCAAGTTTTACCCATCTCTGTTCAATAATCCTTACGTTTCTTCTGGTCAGTATGTATACAGTTGAGCCCTGACTTGGATAGCCCAGGCAGATCTCGGAAGCTAAGCAGGGCCGACCCTGGCAAGTACTTGGAAGGGTGGCCTCTAAGGAACACCAGGGCTGGGACACAGAGGCAGGTAATATAAGCCACCTCTCTAAAACGGCCTAGCCCCACTAGGAGTCGCCAGAAGTGACCATGACTTCCAGGCTCGCAAGTGCATACGCATGCGCACACACACCGATACCAAAAAAGAGGAAAAAAATTAGTATGTATACATTTGAAGCAGTGAACATTTCGGACTAGGCCACTACTTTCCTAAATCATCTAAACTCAGTCCAACCCACATTCATTCAGAAGAACCACTGTGTTCAATAGGGCTTACTCGTAGGTAAGCATGTATAAGACTGTAGCCTCATAGAGCTCAGTGGAACTTACTTTCAAGTAAATACACAATGCAGCAGGTTTCACAAATCTTGATAAGATTACTCTTGTTCACAGCATGTAATAATACTGGCCATATGCTGGTCCAGTGAAAGTGACCAGCTTACTTAGGAATTTCGGATTCTCTGGACCAATACGGCTATGACAACAGATGTCTATACAATCCTTCTGATGACAGCCCAGGAGGACGATCTTGTAACTGTAAATCTGAAACTCTTTTCATAGTAGAAAGGCATTGGATTACACTTCTTCCATGTTTTGAGGTCTGTTATAGCTCGACCTCTAAGAATACTGGGTTGGATCCAACCAACCTTTCCACTACTGCAAAAAGGGAGGCGGGAATCTCTTTTGACCAGCAAAAAGACTCTGCTGGGATTCATGGGACCTCTGTGGTCAAAAAGCCACATGTGGGATGGGGGCTATAAGAGGAAGGGAACTGGGCAAAGAGGAGTGAAATGTTGCCAGGATCCAACGCATTGGATCGATATTGATCCTACCTTGTGAATGCTGAGAACATGCCTCTGGTTTATGAACACTGACCCTTTGTGGTTTTCTTCCTTTGGATGCTTTCCTTGTTTGGTTCTTGATGACGAACCCTTGCAAGGCTCTAATTAACAGCAGGCTGACTTGATCACATTCTAGTAAACAGATGGTGCCTCAGCTGTACTATCCTTTTACTTTACCCATTCTGGAAGAACTATCTGTTCAAAGCAACCTGAGCTTTCCATCTCCTAGAATAGTAATCTTGTAAACTCTTGAATACTAGCTTTGTATGTCTAAGATTAATTTTGAGTTATTTTAACCTTCTCCATATTGTGTTGCTGTTTCTACATTTTCAAATGAAAATGCCGTTTAAATGTTCTATTCCTAATTCTGCAGCTCAAATTTATGCAAAATGCTTAAATGGTCCTTGAACTACTGAACAGAGCATGAAAAAGACCCGGTAATTAAGAACGAAGGTGAGTCATCATTTTAAAAATGAATTGTCCTAAGGTTCATGGTCTGAAACTATATATAAATTGCAACCATGACTTCCCGTAGAAGCTACATGCAATTAATCAGTATTCTTATCACTGAAGCAAATCCTAATACAAACCTGCTTCTATGGCTTCTTGAACTTTTTCAGAGTCAGCAGAAAGGTACAGATTTGTGAGGTATGCCTTCAGGTAGCCAATGGGACTCTTCCCTCCAGTCATACAGAACCGTTCAATCAACAGACCTGGTTTGGGGGGTAAGAAAAGTTCTTGAGCGTGCAGATTCAGCTATTATATTGTGGCAGAGTTCCCGTGCAGAAGGAACACAGAGACCAGTTAACTGAAGGATGGATACAGTGTTCTGTTGCGCAAAATGGAACATGACCTTGTCATCGTGCCAGGTTCAACAACACGAGAGGGACCAGCTTCATGCAGCATAGTGATACCGCAATGATTACTTGACATGGACAATCTTGGGACATTGTATTCGAAGGTGCCCCAAAGGCTATATATCAAGGGTGTCAAACATAAGGGCCAGGGGCCAGAACCCGCCCATCCAGGGCTCTTATGTGGCCTACGAGCAACTACTGCTAGGGAGGGAATGGTGGGGGGGGAGTGGGAGGAGCCACTTCAGCATGGCAGAACAACCTAATCTGCAAGAGTCAAGCATCATGGGAGCATCTGCCCAGCGCTGCACTGCTGCCTCTCCACCTATGTGGGTTTTCCTCTGCAACCCCCTCCCAGCCCACGGGGCCTTGCAGTGAGGGTACACCAACTCGGAGCTTACCAGCTGATGTCCTTTATACGGTTTCTATCTCCGGTACCTGGCATTGCATTTATGGAACGCATGGCCTGGCCGGACAAACTGACATTTATGTCAGCTCCGGCCCTCGTAACAAATGAGTTTGACACCTCTGTTATATATGAAACAGTAAGTGATAAACTGCAATGTATTATGACTACTGCAATTACATAGGCATTAAACACATTCTATCCCATGCTTAAGAAAGCTGCAAAAACCATTTGTAATGTGCAGGATTTTTTCATTAAGTAACCCCCCTTTTTTTTCTGTGGGAAAAATGGGGGGGGGGGGAGTTTCTACAATATGTTGTCTTTCAGATTGAGTAACATATATATGATTTTTTTTTCCAGTTCCTCCCCCCGACACTGCCTGATATGAAGTATTGCGCAAATCCAAGGGAATCCCCAAGGGTATAGGGAAAATACGGATTTTTCTCATGACCTCCATACTGGAGAAACCCATCTCCCCCCCCCCCCCCAAAAAAAAGAAGAGCCCTGACTGTGTAGGCTTAATTATGCCAATCACTGAAACTCAGTGCAGATGTCTGCACTGTCTGACAAGACTGCGAAGCCAACTAGAATGATACCTGAACTCCTGTGGGGTAAGAGAATCCCACAGTACTTTGGCTACCTTCTGAGTTTTCTTACTGACTTCAGCCAGTACTGAGGCCTTCACTTCATGTTCTGCCACAAAGCCTCAGCAGAGTGTTCAGTTCCCTTACCCAGGCACTCAACATCAGTGTGGCACTGGCAGCTATGAGAGGGGGTGGCGAATCAGATGACTAGTAATGGTACTTAGGTGCTAGCAGGGAATGTGGAGAAACAGGTTATCTAACAAGGAGAATACTTTTTGTAATAACTTCAGAATATGTATTATTGTTATCTTTGTTTTCTTTAGCCTTGTTCACATGTTAAATGCACGTGCATCCTGCCTGTATGTGGTACATCTGTTTGTAAAAAAGAAGAGTAGGTTTTTAGACCCCAGTTTTTATGGGGGCCATGGGGGCTCAGAGGTTAAGATGCTGAGCTGCAGACCGGAAGGTCTGTAGTTTGGCAGTTTGAGACCCTAGTGCCGCGTGACGGAGTGAGCTCCCATCTCTGGCCACAGCTCCTGCCAACCTAGCAGTTCGAAAGCAAGAAATTGCAAGTAGATAAATAGGTACTGCTTTGGTGGGAAGGCAACAGTGTTCTGTGCACCTCGGTGCGCCAGCCACATGACCACGGAAATGTCTTCGGACAGTGCTGGCTCTTCCGCTTGGAAATGGAGATGAGCTCCACCCCCTAGAGTTAGATTCAACTAGCTTTTGAGCAAGGGAAACCTTTACCTTTCTCTTCTTTAAGCAGTCTCAAAGAGACTTCCAGTTGCCTTCCCTTCCTCCACCCACAACAGGCACCTTGTGAGGCAGGTGGGGCTGAGAGAGTTCTAAGAGAACTGTGACTGGCCCAAGGTTACCCAGCAGGCTTCATGTGGAGGAGTGAAAAAAATCAAACCCAGTTCTCCAGATTAGAGTCTGCCGCTCTTAACCACTGTACTCTGCTGGGTCTTTCAGCCAGCATGCACTCACTTTACAAATACAGCTAGGGACCAGTGCCTGGGTAAATGTGCAGTTTCAATCACACGCCTAGCTGTAGATGCACTGAATGTAATGTGAGTATTACTCAACACATCTATAAAGAAAAATCAAGTGTATGCTCTAAACAGATTGTACATGTGTAGAGGGAGAACAAAGGACAAAACTAATTGGTGTCTGGTTCTTAAGAGTATCTGAAATATCCCACTTAGGTGAAAGGGGTTTTTATTGGTAATATTAGCAGTTAGCACAACCAAGAAAGCAAATGCTGTGATTTCTCCCCCTTGAACAGCTCCCCCAGCACATTCCTTTGGTTGTCAACATCCTCCTGATAGGGAAGTGTTTTTCCGTTGTTCTTTCTGAATGCCTAAGCAAGCTCTGTGCATATTAACCAGGGCCATAGATTAGAGGCTGGAGTGTCTTTGTCCTAGAACACAGATTTGTGGAACACATGCATTCACTGCAACGTGTCAACATGGCGTTCATGTCCACAGGTTCTGTAAGGTGATAGCCGGAGGGCTGCAATGCATTCTCAGTTGGTGAAGCAAGTGACTGTTGCTAATGGAAAGTTAAAATGTCAGAAGAGTTTTCAACCTCAGAATATACATTTTCCGCTCAGAGGGATTCTGGGAGGGAGATGCTGAAGTCCAGAATTCCAGTACCAAACCGAATAAAGCAGGAACAAATGTCAGCAGTTGATTGGATGGAACGTTCCTGGGAGAGAATATATAAGGGACAGTTGGAGGAAGCGGCAGGGAGAAGCGGCTGGAAGCCAGTTGGAAGGCAGAAGATCTTCAGGAAGAAGTGAAGAAAGCTACCGGCTGAGGCCTTCTAAGAGGTGGGTGAGTGAGCGGCTAAAGGAAAGGGGATTTGCTATCAAAAAGAAAGGAAGAGAAAGCGCACAAATAGTCTAGGAAGAGACTAGGAGATCTGTGGCTACGTTTGTCTGAAAGGTTTAGGAGAATGCCTCTGCAAGGCCAGAGGGAAGACTACGGAGCAGTCCTCCACCAGCACGAACAGGAAACTGCCAGGTCAATCAGGACATTCTCCAGCAGTCAGCCTACAAAGTACTGGCTGGGGTGGAGGAACAGGGAAATCTGGCATTCTTATTTTAGTAGGGAGAGTGACTGTTAGAGGCTAATCTTGCTAATAGCCCTTTACAGAGGAACAAAGTAGCCTATACATGTGATCCACAATTGAGAGCCAGTGCGGTGTAGTGGTTAAGGGCAGTGGACTCTAATCTGGAGAACCGGGTTTGAGGCCTCACTCCTCCACACGAAGCCCGCTGGGTGACCTTGGGCCAGTCACAGTTCTCTCAGAAATCTTTCAGCCCCACCTACTTCAAAAGGGGGCCATTGTGGGGAGAGGAAGGGAAGGCGATTGTGAGCCATCCTGAGACTCCTTCCGGTAGTGAAGAGCAGGGTATAAAAACCATCCATTCTTCTTGTTTAAAATATTTTAAAAATATTTATTTAAGACTTAAGTCCTTATTTCCAGGGGACCTGACTGACAACCTGTTGGGTCTTGCATACCTTTGGGGTCTAATCAGGTCATCGCATGGAATGATATGCAGTTGGAGGGAAGGAGATGGTCTTAGGGGTCAAGGGACAACAGGAAAGGGGGAAGTGTCAGGAATGAGGTAAGTCAGAGTTAATGGGAAAGAGGAGAAAAGATCTGGAGAAGAGAGCCGATGAGGAGGATAGTGTTGCTCTTACAAGAGAGGAAGACCGCAGCATAAAAGAGAGGTCAAACACATGGCAGCCATGTGCAGAGAACATTATTCTTTAGACTCACCATAGTGGTTGATGCTGTTGATAAGTCTCACGCCTACTTGGGCATGGTTATTCGTCATGAGCACAATATCAAACAGGTCTTCATCCTCTGGGTAAAGCTCTCGGAGTCGGGCATTTACCTGCTCCAAAGCCTGTGGGGGTGACACATGTGCACATGTGAGCTTTGTATGTTTTCATCTGAACAACTACTTGGTAAAATGGGGGCTCAGCCTAGAAGAACACACTTGCTGGTCCAACCTGAATCATGTGTTGTATTAATGCCTTGCTCGGGTCTCTCCGTGGGGCCAGCTAGGGTGTGTTACAGAAGGAACAGTCCCAGCTGGAACCTTCAAGAGTTACAGAATGCGAGTTATGTATTTTACAGTCTTTCCGTCAAGAAACATAGTTCGAGATTTGAACTTCTGTTAACATACAGTGTCACATAAGCATACAGTAAGCCTCTTAAAGTGAGCAAAACAGAAATATTTAAGAACACGCTTCACAAATTCAAGGATTTATGTAATAGTTAAGACTTGATTTCCAAAGAGTTCCAAGTCCCCAAAACCACTTTGGATGGGTGACCTTTGTTTCAGTAGCTACATAACAAACTCTTACAAACTGGGTTGCAAAAGTGCAAATCATTTGGGAATGAAACTGGAAAATTCAGCTGGAGCTTGAGTGCACCGAGGCTGCCACCTCTTCTCTCTTCCTGAAACAGCCAGGATTATGAAACACGAGGGGATCACACCTAGCAAGTTTCCCTGATGTTGCAAGCAGCAGCCAATTGGACTGTCAGAGGAAACTTGCAAAGCAATGACACCATATTATAAGATAGATGCCAGCTATGGAATTCCTTGAAAAGTGTGATCTGGCCATGGTGATCCATGGCCGGAACACACCCAGGTTAGATTACTGTAATGTGCTTTATGTGGAGCGGCCTTTGGAAACCCGGTCCAGAAACTTCAGCTCGTCCAAAATACAACAGTCAGGCTACTGTCGGGTGGGATAAAGGGATTGTTATCATTCTAGTACTGAAAGGTTTGCACTGACTGTCCCTTTGTTTTTGAGCACAACTCAAAGTGCTGGTTCTAAGTCCTAAATGGCTTGGGGCTGGAGTACTTAAAGGACCACCTCCTCCCATATTGGCCAGCCCACCAGTTAAGATCTGCCTCTCAAGCCCTGGTCTCTGTGCCCCTGCCTTCAGAGGTGAGGTGGGTGGTGACTAGAGACGGGGCTTTTTCAGCAGTGGCACCTCGCTTATGGAATGCAATTCCCTTTAAGGATCGCATGGCACCTACCTTGTTTTCTTTTAGCCACCAAGCCAAAATGTTTCTGTTCACTCAGACATTTAATTAAGGGGGTTGGCCTTCATTTTAGTCTGGAAGCTGTTATTTTAAGCTGTGAGATGTCTGTTTTTATGGTTTATCTTTTTATGCTGGTCTGGGTTTTTAATATCTTTTAATGTTTGTTTTTATTACTGTATTTTATAAGCCACCTTGGGCAGGTTCCTAAAGAGGCAGCATAAAAAAGTTTTCTAAATCAAATAAATAAAAAGTTACAGGGGAAAAGAGGAAGAGGAGATGGAGGGCAACAACTTTCAGCAGGGGGCAACAACTTGCAGCAGGAGTCACACAGTGGCTTAGTTCCTTACTAACAATTCCTGGACAGAAGTATTTCCATCTGAGGAGCACAACTCCCCTGCTACCCTCCCCCCAGTGCAGCCCAAATGCCCCCTGAAATGCAGCTCCGGGGGGAAGAGGGACCACCAGGAATACCTGGGAGGGTCAGACTTATGCCATGGGAAAGACAAAACTGGCAAAAATCACCCCCCCTTCCATATGTGGAAATTTTTGGTGGGATCCACCCCCTGCTCTTATATCTAATTCCAGTCTTACAGCCAATCTATAGGAGAGTTACAGCCTTCAAAGTCCACTGAAGTCAATGTGCTTAGGCAGGTATGAACTGTTTAGGATGTAACTGTGAGTCTCTAGTTTGTCAGAGCCAGAGATGAGTTACCAGGAAGTCTCCAGGAACAACATCCCCCCCCCCCTACAAAGAATTTACTTATTAATTTATACCATGCCTTCCTCCCCAAGGGGGATCCAAAGTGGCTTACAGAATACTCCCATTCGTCATTTGTTTTCACAACAAACCTGTGAGGTAGGTTAGGCTGAAAGCGTGTGACTGGCCCAAGGTCACCCAGAAAGCTTCCTTGGCAGAGTGGGGATTCAAGTCTGGGTCTCCCATATCCTAGTCCAAAGAACTGAGATTTCCCTTCTAGGTCCAGAGTTAGACGTGACATTTGCATTCCAAACTGCACATTCAGGCTAGCTCTCTAGTCACTTTTGTTTGCCATTTCAATTTTGTCCTTCTGTGTCCCCAAACCAGTCATCGTCCATTCCTTTTATGCAACTGTCTCCTCCTCACAGAACAGCAAACTCCTTTTAAAAAGCATGCTCTCAATTAATACTAAATGTGTGCATGCGCACCCACATACACTCTGAACAAATCTGATGTACCGTGCTGATAAAGATCGAGGGGAGGGGGGGGGTTCAGATAGGATTTTGAGCTAGCATGGTTGTAAGTATTGTGAAGTAAAATGCAAATAGTGAATGTGGTGAATGGCTGCACGGGTACAATGACACACATTCTTTAAAAAGACAGTGAAGGAGTAAGAGGAGGTAGGATGCAAGAAATGGGCCTGGAATAGGGTTGGTGCCAGATATCTTTCAGGCCTGTACCCCTTCAGTGAGATAACAGCCTTTCACAGTCCAGAAACAGATAGTTATAGAGTGCCAGATCACAGACTGCAATGCAGATTGCACCATACGGTTGTGCAGTTTTCAGCAACAGATGACTGGACAAAATGCCACAGACAAGGTAGAAAAAAGGGAAACACTGCTAAAAAGAGAACATGGCTATATAAACAGCCTCCTTTGCAGGGACTGTGAAATGAATAAGAATAGGCATCAGAATTCCTTTGAATCACAGCAGAAACTGGCCACATAGCCCCGGCAAATGCTGAACCTTTGGAAGTTATTGCATAGACTTAACAGCACATCAAAAGACTGTAACTATATTGGCAGGCTGTTGAGAAACACAGGACGGCTCTAGCATGTTGGGGGGTTGTGTGTATTTTTTTGTTGTCAAGTCACAGCTGACATAGGGTTTTCAAGGCAAGAGATGATCGGAGGTGGTTTGCGATTGCCTGCCTCTCTGAAACAACCCTGGTATTCCTTGGTGGTCTCCCATCCAAATACTAGTCAGGGCTGACCTTTCTTAGCTTCTGAGACCTGACAAGACCAGGCTAGCCTAAACTATCCAAGTCCGGGCTCTAGAACAATATAAAACAGATATGTTTGTGTGCAGTTTTGTATGCATACAACCTTATTGGGTCTCTGTTGTCCTTTCTATCCATAATCTAGTGGTTTAATTATAAGGAAAAAACTATCAACCTAGCACAAAAAGATGCACCAGGTTCAAAGGGCAAGAGGCCCATCTGCAGGAGGACTGAGTCAATGCTCTTCAATGCTCTAAGATACACAGAGGTAACACTGGAGAACTTCTAGAGTGTTCCGTACAGATACTAGCCTACGGTCATTTTTCTTGGTTCTCCTTTGCAGTAGAATTCAGCATTAGAGTGTCTGGGCTTCAAAGGCAACAGGGCAATAGGAGAAACGAAGAGCCAGTATGTTGCAGTGGCCAGAGTGCTGAACTAGGGTCTGGGAGATTCAAGTTCACATTTCCATTTGGCCATGGAAGCTTGATGGGTGACCTTGGGCCAGTCACACATTCTCAGCCTGACCCACCTCACACAATTCCTGTGAGGATACAACGGAGAAGCTGCATTAGGTACTCAATGGGCACAAAGGCAGGGTACAAATAAATAAAATTAGGATTCTAAGAATAATTCTAAAAACGTTTTCGTACATTAGGAATCAAAATAGGAGGGCATTGCGGTTTTTACGCTAGCACAACTGTGAGAGAAACATGGATTACAATTCTCAGCATTGGTCCCAGAGAGTTCTTGAACAATGTATGAAGATTTCGGAAACATTAAGGAACGCTTTTTTGAATCTACCTTATTATCCTGCTCTTTGATAAATAACTACTCTCTACTTTTATGACCACCAGCAAAACTGGCATTTCAGTCTAAGGAACTGTTCCGGAACTGGTGGACATGTGAGAATAAGCTGTGCTTTGAGAGGTGCCCAGTTCAAATCTCACCTCTGCCACACAAACATATTATGCGACCTTCCTTAGGCAGGTCAGTTTCTCTCAGCTACTCTCTGCCTCCGTTATACGGGGGTACTAATACTGGCTTACCTCACAGGGCTGTTGTATATAAAGTGCTTTAAACACTGAAAGTGCTATAAAAATGCTGAGTATTACTGTTTTGTGTGACTGTTTACTCCATGAGACTTCAATACTTTATTATTTGGGGTTACACTATTTAGTTGTGAGTAGCAACCATTCTTTATACTTTTTTGGAAAAAAAATATTTCCTGTGGCCAGTTAGTATCTCTTTACATTTTTTTTTTTTGGTATTCTTTTATGTTTAGGATTCACACGCAACCTGCCTGGTCTGGAACAAATATTTTATACTTACATTTCTAGTGCGTGTTGTCATTATTTAGACCACTGAAGAAGGCTCTCTGGGCAAAAATGCATTTGGTCTAGTAAGGGCTTACTTTGTGTAACCAATATTTTGGTCTTAGTTACTATACGTGCAGTTTACATGTGTTGCTGTATGCTATGTGGATGTAATGTGATACCCACCACCTCATGGTTTGTAATCTTTGTTTTTAATCTATATTTACTGTGCACTTTGTAATAAATAGATGTATCTTATTCTTCCATTTAGTTGCTCAGCCTTCTAAGTGCCAGAATTCCAAATGTGCCTATGGGCTCAAAAAATGCTTTAAATCTGCACTAACAGCTCAAAAAGGGGAGTTTGGTGCTTCTAGGCTGGAAAGAGGCAAAACTTATTTTCCAGAGAGCAGAACACAGTGACAGGTATCAGTCTGTAGTAAACTGATAAACAGATCTTGCAGATTTTTTGTGTGTGTTGCTTTAATATCTTGTAGAACCTCTTTGAACAAAAGTGACCATCGGACACCAGGAAAAGCGATGGCTCTCTTAAACTACTTTTGAGTCTCTTTTTAAAAACACTGTCTTTCTCCAGCCCTAGGATGTTCCAACACGAAAATCAAGAGCTTACAGAGCCATCCTAAGCCCAGTGGGCTCCGAGGGGTGTAACTCAGCTCCAGGTGGCACCCTGAGTCACTGAAGAAGTACCAGGCAGAACGTTTACCCATGGTAGTTTCTTCATCTAAAAGGCCACCACCTCACTTCATTAGGCCTGGAGCCCTCAGCATCCCACCCACCTCTAGTGATGCTGTTTTTCAGAGAAGTTGCCCTCCTACAGTAGAAACCAGGGAGCCATCTTTTCCACTGTTTGTGTCTCTGACTTATGTAACCTCCAGCCCCATTATTTATTTATCATCGGCTGCTGTAGGCAGCTGGTGAAGCTGGGAAAGAAAGGAGGTCAGTGGATGCCTTTTAGCGCTGCCCTGCTGCGGAACGGGAGCCGGGGAGGGGGGGAAGCCGGAAAGAACATCTGTGGTCTCCCCCTCCCTCCGAGTTGGTGGTTACCTTCACAAAGGAAAAAGCCGGTCCAGGCTTCAGCGTGATGGTCTCATTCGCCTGCTGGTACTCCACGTACTTTTCCACGCCGTGATCCTCGTAGATCTTCCTCTCTTCCACCATATCAAAGAGAACCCGGGAGGAGACCGCAATGGTGATGGCATTTAGGGGCTTGGGCTATGAGAGAGAGAGGATGGATTTGTTGTTAATAAAGGGAATCAGGGCAGGGGATTGGCGGGAAGAGAAGGAGGAAGTCAGGATGGCAGCATGGCAAAGAGCGCGATAAAGCAAAACACCCCCCCCACACACACACGGGATCGCATTTCCCCCCCCCTTTCCTTTATCGCAACCCACCCCAATGACCCAAGGGCAAAGCGCAAGCTTTCGAGTGCTGCCAGAGCGCTTATTCAGCCTGGATGTCAAAAAGGCAATAAAAGGGCGAGGATGGGAGCGGATCGGAGCCGGAGACCTTTCAGGCTGAGCCGGTGCCTCGAAGGCAGGAACGCGGCAACCAGGTGGGGGCCCGGAGGACAGGACAGGACAGGACAGCCCCCCCCCTCCCCACCCACCCCTCCCGTCACTCACGGGCCGGGGTCTCTTGGTGATGGTGGTGAAGCTTTCGTAGGCAGCCTTGGCCGCTTCCCAGTCCTGCTCGGCTCCGGCGACCTCCTCCGCGGAAAGCCCCGCCTTGGCGGAGCGCGGCTGCTCTTGGGACCCGCTCATGATCTTGGCTGCCGGCGGCGACTGGCCCGCGGGGGCGGAGGGTCTGGGCGGCTGCTGCTGCTGCTGGAACTGCTGCTGGGAGAGACAAAAGGGCGCGGGGCGGGGGGGGGGGAGGGAGGGGGAGGGAAGGGGGGG